CAATCCAGAGGTGGTATTCAGCAGGTTCTGACCAGTTCTGGAGAACTGGTAGTGGAAATTTTGAGTAGTTTGGAGAACCGGCCAATACCACCTCTGACTGGCCCCACCAACCCCATCTATTCTCTGGCTCCCATTGAGTCCCAGCTGATTGGTTGGGTCTTTTGTTGCCCTGCACAGGAGAACAGGGCTGCCATGCCCACCAAGCCTGGTAGTAAAAAAATGTGAACCCCACCACTGGTACAATCTATTTTTGAATACCTCCAGTGATGGAGCATCCACAACTCCTGGAGCCAAGCTATTGCATTAATTAATTGTACTCACTGTCAGAAAATTTCTCCTTATTTCTAGGTTGACTGTCTCTTTAAAAAGCTCCCACTCATTACTTCCAGGGGTGGGTTTCTACCGGTTCTGTCCACCTCTGTAGAACTGGTAGCTCTGAAGAGCAGCAGACACCAGGCATAGCTGCAGTTAGAAAAGCAGGAAAAGAGGGCTGCACACAGCATGCTGATGACGATTTACAGGCGCACGGCTCACAGGGTGCAGGCAAGCTTGTAAATCCCGAACTGGTAGTTAACCCTGTCGTATCCCACCCCTGATTACTTCTTGTTCTTTTTGAAGCCCTGCCTTTACTTTAAATCTCTAGTGACTTCAGTCTAGTCAGGCCTGAGAAGATGGGAGGTTCAGCCAGTACATTGTCCCAGGGCCCATGGAGCTCAAAGGGGGCCCATGAAGGGGAACATTTTTTTAATTTTTTCTTTACAAAACCAGCTTTTTAAAAAGAAAAATAGCAGGATGGTGTGTCAACCTGGATGTGCCTAGGTGGGGGTGGGGTGGGAACGGTGGGGATGGCTTGGAGCAAAACACTCCAAAGCTGGATCAAATCAACTCATCAGAGGGCAAGCGACAAGGAAGGAAGGTGTGCCCTTCCTGCGCAGCAGTGGCAGCAATGATTGCCCCCCCTCCACCTTCTCTCTCTTTCTCCCCTTCTCCCAATTCTTAAAGAATGAACTTTCACTTCTCACCCTGTCAAAATCCTTCACGCCGAAAGGAAGGAGAAGAAAAAAGTACAGAGAAGAGCAAACAGGATGATTAGGGGACTGGAGACTAAAACATACGAAGAACAGTTACAGAAACCAGGCCTGGCTAGTCTAGTGAAGAGAAGGACCAGAGGAGACAGGATAGCAGCCTTCCAATATTTGAGGGGCTGCCACAGAGAGGAGGAAGGGGTCAAGCTATTTTCCAAGGCACCCGAAGGCCGGGCAAGGAATAATGCATGGAAACTGAACAAGGAGAGATTTAACCTGGAAATGCGGAGAAACTTTCTGACAGTGAGAACAATCAACCAATGGAACAGAAGTTGCCCTCGGAAGTTGTGGGAGTGCCATCACTTGAGACCTTCAAGAAGAGATTGGACTGCCGCCTGTCAGAAATGGTGTAGGGTCTCCTGCTTGGGTGGGGGATTGGACTAGATGACCTACAAGGTCCCTTCCAACTCTGATTATCTGTTCTCTGTTAAGGAGGCGCCACTGTCAGCTTAGTCGGAGGATCTGTGCACATCAGCCATGCCAAAGGGCAACTGGCAAGAGAGGTGGCTTTAAAACACAGGAGGATAAACCGGTGGAGGAAAGGTGGGGTGGGTGAGGGAAGTGTCACTTTTCTTTCATTCTTACACACTGTACAGTGTTCTTCTCCAAGTTGGAAAAAAAATCTACTTGTGGGCTTTGCGGACTCCAACTCCGCTTCTCCGTACTTTGTCCTCACCCACCCACCACTCCGCTTCCCAATCTTCTTCCCTCCCCTGACAGCCCGTCTCTCTTTTTTTTAATGAGCCTCTTGTTGGTTAGGTGTTAGGTTGGTGCAGGGAGTAACGCGAAATCCACAGGATGGTGGGGAGTGGGAGGGGAGATGTTTTTATGAGAGTCATGCTAACTTAATGTGTAGGTGAGGGGGCCCATATTAGTCTTGTTCCAGCACTTAATAATCCTCTCAGCAGCGCTGAGTCTAGTCCTTTAAGTTGTGAAAATATAACAAGAAGCCAATGTACCACTCAATTGCTCTCTTAAGAACCTCCTTGCTTCCACCTTCCAGTTCTCTAACTAAAGTGGAGCAAAGGTTCTGGTAGCACAGATAAACACTGTCATTTCCTTAAAAAAAAAAAAAGTTTAAAATCCATTCTAACTCTCATTCAATTATTGTGTCAGCTGCTACTGTGAAGATTTTTAAATACGTTTTAAAAATTGGAGAATACTCTCATAATTTACAGTTTTCTCTACTCTTTTTCCCCTATGAATCTTATTTAAATGTCCTTAACACGTGCACACACTTTTATATGTTATATATTTAGCATATATAGGAGTTCAGCAGAAGAGACAATATAACAGTAGAAAATCTGAAAACCCATATGCTTCAAAATGAATGGAGTTTTATACGCAATTTTACTTAATGCCTGATTTTTGTGGTGCCTACTATTAACAGATGCTTTTAGAAAATCCAAGGTATTCGAATATGTCCTTTCTTAAAATAGAGGCATCCAAATTGTGATATAGCTGTTGCAAATATATACTGGGGAAATGAGAATTTTGAAGCACAGAAGAATGGATATTAGTGCACTATAGAATTCAGAATTACAGAGTTAGATGGCTGCCCTCAAGTGCTTTGGAGAATACTTCAACCACCTTCTCTCTGTGATAGCACTTCAAATTTTGGAAGACTGTTATCATGGTATCCCTAGTTCTTCTCTTTGTTAGACTAGACATACCCAATTCCCTCAATCGTTTATCATATGCTTTAGCCTCCAGCCTCCTAATCATTTTTGTTGCTATTCTCTGCATTCTATCTAGAGTCTCCAGATTTTTGTGTGTGTATAATGGTAACAAAAATGGGATGGTTCACTGGAACCTACTCATGCTGTCTAAGAATCCAATAAAACAGGTGTGGTGGCACAATGGTTAAAATGCAGTATTGCAGGCTGACTCAGCTCATTGCCAGGAGTTTGATCCTGACCAGGTCAAGGTTGACTCAGCTTTCCATCCTTCCAAGGTTGGTAAAATGAGGATCCAGATTCTTGGGGGCAATAGACTGACACTGTAAACCACTTAGAGCTATAAAGCACTATGAAGCATTATATGAGTCTAAGTGCTATTGCTAAAAGTAATGTGCTAATCTGCTTCCACTAACATCAATGTTATTCTTTTTTTAAAAAAAAAACAGAACTATGCTTCTTCAAAATCAACAGGTTCATTGGCCACCATGATTCCTCTTCTCCCAAGTGTACCAAATGAGGAAAGCACATCAGATCATATGAAATGATGCATCTCTTTGATAGGCTGGAAGGAGCTCTACTGCTAACCCTTGTTCTAGAGCACTGATGTCAAACTCAATTGCATCACATGATGTCATGTGACGTATTGTGACTTTTTTTTGCCTTTGCGAGCATGTGATGCATCCAGCCTGCAGGCTGCTCTTCTAGACACCTGACAGCTGTGGAATCATGATTCATCACTGCCACGTAGCTGCAGAAAGTGGGAGCGGGGTGATGTTAATTGAGTAGTTCTTAGTAGACAAAATATAATTCTTTTGATAACTCAAGGTTAAAGAGTGTGGCGCAGAAAGAAGTAGAACCTACTTTGGGATTGGTTTATGTGATGTGATGATGAGGGGAAAGGGGATGGTTTATAGGGGAAGCCGGGAAAACTTTTAGGTTTGGAATTCCACAGAATGTGCCAGGTGCTATTCTAATAAAAGTACTTTGAGATTATGTTTGACTTGGAGTTACTGACAGGAACGGATTTTCCCTGGAACGCTGACAACATCCCTATTCTAGAGCAAAGTTTCCCAACTCATTGCAACTTCCAGATGTTCAGAATTCAGCAGTCAGAATGTTTAGTAATGATCATTCTGGCTGGGGTATTTGGGATTTGAAGTCCATACATCTGGAATCTGCCAAGGCTGGAAAACACTGTTCTAAATACATACCACTGAAATTCTTACATTATATCTATCGTAGCCCAAATAGAAGAAACCATTATCAAAAAACAAACAATTCCCAACTGATGGGGTCTTGAAACTATGAAATCAGGATAGAACACGGCTAGGTAATTCACATGATATATTTGATCTGTTTGCTGAATTAACCAATTCTGAAGGGTTATGTAGCACAGCAAATGACAAAGCAAGGTGTCTTAGGCTCATAACAATGTGTGAAGCCCCCAAATAACTAAGCAACATTAAAACAAGTTTAGCATGTTGTGCAAATACAGCTTGCCTCTTTGGAAATGACCTCTTAAGCATGTTGTGTGAACATAGCCCATTATGTCAGAAGGAATCTAGTTCTCACCAGGAACCAGGTGAACTAAGTTGTCAAACACAAAATAAGATAGAGAAGGCAGATACAGCAATAATGAATTACTTGGTCTGCAGTTAAAATCTGGTGTGCCAGATAAATCATATCTATTAAATAAGTGCTGCAGTGACATGATTTCAGCAGCTCCCATTTTAATGAATTTATTTGTCTCATTTTTATCTTCCTTCTTGATCTCTTTTTCTTTCTCTATTTGCAAGTAATTGGAAGAGTCCAGAGAACATTTTTCATTATGATAAAACAGGATGAGAAAAGGCTCATTCCGTAGCTTCAATTGATAAATGTAGAGTAAAAGTCAAATCAAAAGACCTAACTGGCCTTCAGGATTGTAGGAGCAGAGGAGAAATTGAAGACAAAAAAGTCTTTTTTGAAAGAAGAAATGGTTTCCAGACTCAAATTACCTTTTTAAAAAATATACCATCATTCCAAAGATAACATTGTGGGGGCCAATGATACTGATATACTTCAATTAAACTTCCCTATTATAAAAACAGCCATGTCCATGTCTATGAGGTAGGTCTTTGTACCTCATAAAACTAGCCAAATGTGATTTTAGGTCAGAAAAATGTGGTCTATCTCAAAATTGTCTCTGTACGTTTGAGCCTTAGGCTTCCAAAATGACAATAGAGGCCCAGTTTACAATCTTGCTCTGTAGGTCTTTCATCAGGATGGAGTTATCAAGAATCTTTTTTTAAAAATAATGAACCTATTACTGTAGAATTTCCTTGCCTAGAAGGAGCACTTGACTTTCTCTCTTGCTATTCTGAGATGGAACTTATTTGCTTGAATTTGCTATTCCTTTTCTTAGAGTTTTAACTTCCACAATTAGATATATCTGGCAAAATATTTTCAGTATATGTCATTGTTTTCACGCATATGTCTATGAAATAAATTGAGCTTTTGGAAATATGTATAAAAATGTACCAAAAGAAAAGAACATCATAGCAATAACAATAATAGCATTTAGACTTATATACATATACATGTACATAAATATACATATATTTATTAGTTATTAATCATCCATGACTAAACTATTTATTCCATCGTTTTATATGAGATGTTCCAAGTTTTATCTTATAATTTGTGTTATACTTTCAACCAGTGGTTATATATATCTATATTATGTTTTATATCAATCTATTAGGTTTCTATCACAAAATTATCTAGTCTATTATATTACCATGCCTTTTTATCCAACCATTGATAAAAAAAATCCCATATCATATAAAATTGCTTATCTTCTTGTTCTCTAATTTCAATGTCAGTTTACTCATTTCAGCACAGTCTATAATTTTTTTGATAACTTCCTCCTGCATAGGTATTTTGTCATTTTTCCAGTTCTTCACAAATACAAGTTTAGCCGCTGTTAAAACATTTACAATCAAATATTTCAGTTCTTTATTGTATATGTCCGGTATGACTCCCAATAAAAAGATCTCTGGTTTAAAGTCTATATGTTGTTTTATCATTTTTTCCCCACCATGTGTGGATTTTAGTCCAATATTTCTTTGCATCTGAACATGTCCACCACATATGGTAATATGAACCAGGTATCTGATGACATTTCCAGCATTTATCCGATTTATTGTTAAACATTCTTGCAAGTCTTGTCGGGGATAGGTGCCACCTGTAAAACATCTTATACAAATTTTCTTTAAATGCAGTTGACATTGTTATTCTAAAATTTTGAGACCACAATTTTTGCCATTTTCCCAAATCAATCACATATCCAAAATTTCCCCCCCCAAGCAATCATCGTTTCTTTAACTTGCTCCTCCTCCAATTTAAATTCTAACTGATGTCCATAAAGTTTTTAAATTATCTTTTCATCAGTACCCATCAAAATTTTATCTAAGTCAGTCAACTTATCATAAATACCTTCTGCCTTGGAGTCTTTATCAAATCTAGATTGTATTTGCAAATAAGAAAACTAATTCATTTTTACACCTTGTTCTTCCAACATTTGCATAGATTTAAGTTTACCCTTTTCATTCAATAACTCCCCATATCTAACTGTTTGTTCCTTTTTATATATTATTGGATAAGAAAAAGCTTCAATAGTTGATATCCATGTTGGAATTTTTAAATAATATTGTCTTTTTATCTTCTCCCAGATCAAAAACACTGCCTCACGAATATGTCTTCTAAAATACCCCTGTGTTTTAGTTCCCTTATACCAGAGAAAGGCATGCCATCCCAGCAGCAAGTCATGGCCTTCTAAAGTCAATAATCTACTGTTCCTTAGTGTTATCCATTCCTTTACCCACATCAAATTTGTCACCTGGTAATACAGCTCCCAATTGGACAAGGCAAACCTTCCTCTTATTCTTGCATCTTGTAACAGCTTTATTTTTTTTCTTGTTTTTTTACCCTGCCAAATATATTTCAACACAATTCTATTTAAATCTTCTAAAAACTCTTTCCCTAACTGAATAGGAATTCTCTGGAATAAATATAAAACTCTAGGCAATATATTCATCTTAATTGTGGATATTCTCCCAATCAGTTGCAATTTTTCCCTTTTCATCAAGTCTGTTGCAATCTGCTGTTTGAGTTTAACATAGTTATCTTCCTTCAGGGTACTGCATCTTGGTGTAATATAAATCCCTAAGTATTTAACCTTGTTTGTGACCTGTATTTTTAAAGTTTCTTCCAACTCTTTCTTTTCGTCTTGTTAACATATTCTTTGTTAATATCTTTGTTTTGTCTTTATTTATTCTCAAACCTGCTACTTTTCCATATTCTTCTATTTTTTTCTATTAATTTGGGTGCTGTTTTCCATTGGGTCTTCTAATATAAATACCAGGTCATCTCCTGGAAGTTTGGGAAGGCCGGAAATCAGCTCATTTCTGGCTTCCAGAGAGCCTCTGGAACCCAGAAAGGCCATTTTTGCCCTCCCGGAGGCTCAAAAACCCCTCCCCTCCACCATAGTGCAGGAGGCCAACTAGGCCACGCCGACCATGGCCACGCCCGCCCAACAACCAGGCAGAGAACCCCTTGCTAAAATTTTTGAAGCCCACCCCTGAGTAGGAGCATTGCATATTTCCAAGAGAGTCCATAACTACAGAGGTGATCCCAAACTCAATCACGGGTAGCTTCACCCATTGCCTTGAGCTTCCACTTGTAGCATCTGAGGAACCTTCACCGCATTTTTCCTCAACTCCCACTGCAAGGGGGAAGAATAAGGAGTAAATCTCCATTGAATGCCAGCAAGGATTAAGAGAGGAATGTATGAATGTAGTAGGATGAAGTGGGTCACCTCTAACAATACCATGGCATTGGTTTTTGCAAAATAATTAGTACACAACCCTGAGGGGGCCATATTTTCCATCAATCACACCATGAGGGTGGGATGATTTTCTGCATCATTTTAAAGCTGGAGCCAGGTGCATTTGGATCAATCACTAAAAATGCAAAACTCTCTCTTCATTAAGCAGCACCAATCCATCCACCTCTTCCCACACACAGAGGTCTAAAGTGCCACAATGTCCCTTTGGGATTCTAATTCCCAAATAACATCTTAGGAGTTCACCTTAGCTAACCTCATTCTGCACCATTCTCACCAAGTAGGCAAAATCAGAAGCAAGACAGGGATGGAAAGTTTAGAAGAGGTGGAAGACTTTGTTCAAACCGTGCACTAGAAGATTACGCCTGGGTGCAGCACTTTTTAACTGAAAAGCATGGATCAGTATAATCTCAATTATTTTACTACACACACACACACATAATTAAAAGTCTTCCTGCAACATCCCTTAACATATGGAGCTTTTGTACATAGGTTTCTCTAGCATATTGTTCACATAAATCTCTCCCGCAAATATATTTCTACAGTAAATCTCTCAAACAGCTGGGACCATCAAGAAGTTGACAGGTAGGTTGTAAGGCAAGGTAAGTTTAGTTCAATGTCTGCTGAACTGGGCTTGTCAAGATTTGTTTTCAATTACAGTGTGTATGGGTTCATTGTAGTTTTGAGCAATTTAGACACTGAAAGAGTTAAAAAAAACTCATTAACCTGCCAATCCAGGTCATGGACAGAAAAAAAAAAAAAAGAAACCACCCCAAACCCCAGAAAATCAAACCCTCAGGAGCCAATCAGGAGATTCAGTTTCCTCTTTTAGGTGGGTTGTTTTTTTACAAGCAGGGAGAGTGGTTTTCACTCTGTGTGGTTTTCTGGAGTTTGTTTTCTCTTCTTGGAGATTGGACAGAAGCCAAGGTAAGACCAAAACTTTATCAGTTATGTGCTTTTGAGTCAAGTAAGATGGAGACCATAAAGCTGGTTGAATGACAGCTTGTTTTACTTTAGGGATTGAGAACTGGGCTCTGTGGGTTTGTTACAGTGTGTTTTTATTAGAGATTCTGGGCTGCTCAGTTGAGGGGACAGCTGAACGTGATTATTTTCTTCAGATAGTAATTGTGCAATTCTTCTACTTTCTTTCCCAACTTTCTGTTAGGAATCTGATTTTGCCTCTAGCTACCTCCTTGCCTCAGAATGAGCAGTGCTGGTTCATTAATATCTAGAATTCTTAATAAACCAGAGATGTACATTTGGGTGTAGGGAGGTAACCTTTAGCCCAACGTTTCTCAACTATAGCAACTTGAAGTTGTGTGGATTTCAACTCCCAGAATTCCCTGGCCAGCATACCAGCAAAGGAATACTGGGAATTAAAGCAGGGATGGAATTCTACCGGTTTGGACCAGTTCGGGTGAACTGGATGTTAAAGTTACATCTGGTTTGCCAAATCGGTATTTCAGATGACCGGCTGTCCCCACCCACCCCTCCCCTCTGCTCCCAGGAGTCTGATACAGGTAAGTGCAGGGTCTGCGCGGAAGCTCTGGGAGGGAGAAAAATGGGCCTTCTGGAAGTTTGGAAACACACCTGTTTCCAGCTTCCAGTGAACCTCCAGAGCCTGGGGGAGGCTTTTTTCACCCTCCCAGAGGCTCAGGGAGCTTCCAGACCCTTGGGAGGGTGAAAACAGCTTCCCCTGAGCTCTGGATGCCCACCGGAAGCCGGAAATAGGAAATTCTGGTAGGCCAGGCCCATCATGGCCATGCCCACCCAGCAACCGGGCAGCGAACGGGTTGCTGGGATTTTTGAATCCCATCCCTGAATTGAAGTCCAACAAAAGTTGAGAAGTTGAGTAACCCTGCACCATGTGTGTTTCTCAACCTTAGCAACCAGAAGATGAGTGGACTTCAACTCCCAGATTTCAGGAGAGCTACAATTTTGCTACTAATGGATCCTTCTTATGGGAATATTTTTCCTTTCCAGTGAGAAATTGGTTGGGTTTTTCCCCCCACTAATCCTATTTTAGGTATGGGTATTTTTTTTTCCTGCAGGATTGCACCTGTTATAAAAGTATGTCACTTATCATTGGCAGTTGCATCTCAAATTGTTGCCCGGATAAAATGCTTCCTGTATGTGTGCTCTGGAATAAATCATACAAAGTTAACTTTGAATTAAGAAGGTGCCTAAAGAGGCTTCAAGTGAATGTGTTTTTATTGGGTTACTTATATATTATTTAGTATTTTTATGCCTTTGATTATAGAGCTTTCAGTGGATAAGATTGATTCTTTTAAGCTAATAGCCTTCCCATTGAGATTGTATGGATTTTCTCCCACACTACTTAGCCCCCATTCATTGACTGCAGAGAAACTGCATTAGCAGCTTTGCTTTTCAGTGTGTTTTTCATTTTATTTTCGTAGCTGTTCTTTATCAATCAAGTATTTATCTGAACACAACAACAATAGATTCTGAATAGATATATAGCTATTTATTCTTAGCAACTGAAAGTTTGCCATTCCTTAAAGCTTGCACTGAACAACAATGGTAGCGGCTATCATATTGCCAAAGCTATAATGTGGTTAGTTTAGTTTTGGCTTAACTAACAATTATGGCTCAATAAACCATGGTTAAATATAATTTACTGAGGAAATGAACCAAGCCTTGTCTTCCTCAGACTACCCCAAACTGTTATGTCCAAGAAATTATTGGGAATTATGGAAATTGTGACCCCATAAATATAGAAAGCTGATTTTGGTTCAACTATCACATAAGGATAAGGGTTGAACTGATTTGGTTGACTTTCTGTAGAAAGATGGTTAATTAAGATTGACCAGCAAATGGTTTCTCAAATTTGGGGAAAGGCATAGTGGAAATGCCTGTGTTTATTATTATTTTCTTCTGTTTTGCTGTAATAGATGAATTGTTGGAAACCATCCGTATTCATAATTCCAGCTAGTATTCTAGTCAGAAATTGTTGGTTTGTTTCTTATTAAACTTGACATTGGGTAGCTTCTCTTCCTTTAAAAAGTAATAATAAAGACTCAGTACAAAAAATAGCCACCCCACCACTTTGATATATTCCATTTTTGTTTCCTGCCAAAGTGTGTACTGTTCATGGTTTCTTTTGCAATCTAAAAGAATTGGAATTGGAATATTCTTTGGCCAAGTGTGATTGGACAGACAAGGAATTTATGTCTGGTGTATAAGCTCTCAGTGTACATTTAAACAACAAAATTATAAATCATAAGAATACAACCAACAGTGTTACTCATAAGATACCAGTAGGAGCATCTTATGATACGAATGATACAAACAGCAAAATGGTGGATGAAGCAGAAGAGAATCATCCTCTGATATATTTTCATAGTATTTCCAAATGATCAACTGGAAGGATAGTTTAAGGCAGGGGTGTCCAACACAAGGCCTGGGGGCCGGATCCAGTCCACAGGATGCTTAGTTTTGGCCCACAGTGAAGGACTGGCCTGTGGTGCCTCTGCCAGCAAAAACAGAGCTTGGGAGGGCCACGTGCATCCACCCCGAGTTCTGTTTTCACCGGCAGAGGGTTGCAGGACGTCGGTGCAGCCAAAAACGGAGCTCAGGAGCCTGTTTTCATTGGCAGAGGGTTGCAGGCCAGCACAACCGAAAACAGAGCTTGGGAGCTTCTTTTCATTGTCAGAGCGCTTGGACCACCACAAGTGCCCCTGACATGAATGATATCAAGCTGGCCATGCTCACCCTGGCCATGCCCACCCCAGCCTCCTGAGGTCAAACACAACCCTGATGTGGCTCTCAATCAAATCAAGTTTGACACCCCTGGTTTTGTTGTGGTTCGCTGGCAGCCGGTGAAGACGGCAGCGGAACTGGACAGTGCGGAAGAACGGGGACCAATCAGGGAGTCTGGAGAGGACTTGGATGAGGGTCCTGCATCCGATGCAGAAATGGGGCCAGGACCAGGGAGTGGGGTGCTGCCTTCGGAGCCTTCGGAGTCTGGCAGCAGCGAGGCAGAAGACCCAGGGGAGCCTGTTCCTAGTGCGCGTGAAGGCAACAGCAGCTGAAACAAAAGGGGCAACTCAGGAGTAAGGCTGGGAGGTGATTGCCCCTCCCATAAGGTATAAAAGTCAGGCCAAGATGATGAATCCTTTGCAGGAAGCAAAGTAGTTCAATCAGTTCAGAGTCATCCTTGAAGCTCTTTGTACTTCAGATGGGTTGTTTTTATACTTCGGTTGGTTTCTTTTCTAGTTCATTTGATACTTCTGTTTTTAGCAGCACTTCACAGAACTGAAAGGTGTGGCTTATCTTGGGGAACTGTTTGAGATTAATTCTGACTGGGAATGAAAACAATTGCCAGCATTGCAATAAAATAAGTCTTCTTTTTAAAATATGTTTGTGTATGATTACAGTTTACAAACTCTGGGTCAGAACAGGTTTAAGGAGATATGTTCAGGGAGGGGGAGGAGCCAATTGGTCTGACCCAACCACTGAAAATGACCATGTTAATCGCCTGACATACGCAGGTGGCCACGCATTGTGGGTTTCATTTCCTACATGAAATCTGTTAAGATTGATTTACATAGTGAGGCATTGTCAAGCACACAAGATGGATCAGACCAGGAAACCAAAGTTATGAATACTAATACTAGGTTTATTATAGAGTTGCAGTACCAGAATATTGCACCTCTGAAAGTGCCTCTCCTTCCTTGTCTTTCTCTACAAGAGAACTAAGGAAGGTCAAGCCAGAGATGTTTTCACAAATTATATTTCTACATTGGAGTTACATTTTTAAAAGATATGCAGAACAGTTTCAGGGGTTGGGTTTGTCTCTAGTCTAGTGAAAAGAAGGACGAAGGATGATATGATAGCAGCGTTTCAATATTTGAGGGACTGCCACAAAGAAGAGGAGGACAATATATTGTCCAAAGCACCAGAAGGCAAGACAAGAAACAATGGATGGAAATTCATTAAGAAGAGTACCAATCTAGAACTAAGAAATTTCCTAATAGTGAGAACAATTAACCAATCGAATGACTTGCCTTCAGAAGTTGTGTTCCATCACTGGAGGCTTTAAGAAATATTGGACAGTCACAATATTCCTACTGTCTGGAACAGTATAGGGTCTCCTGCTTGAACAGGGGTTAGAAGACGAACTCGAAGACCTCCAAAATCACTTCCAACTCTTTTAATCTAGAATGCTGAATTTTTCTTATTTTTTTTCCTTTGTTTTGGTTGCAACCCTTCTTCCTGCACCTCAACATTCTTCTCACAGCCCATTACAGGCATCATTCTGTTCAGGATATTCCCTCCCACACATTTTTCTCTGTTCTGGCTTCTATTTCTTACACCTTCAAAATTCATTCAGTATTCCACATAACTTGAAATATACTGTTTCAACTGGCAATTTTGAGTAGTTCACGATGCTCTTCTCCTGAAGACTTTTTCTTTAACATTTGGAGCTTTCTAGTCAAGTTTTACTTCCCTAGCACTGAGAAAACTGTGCATGAAAAAGCATGCACATCCAGCCAGGTTCTTGTTTTTTTTAATTTTACATAATTACAACCTCATCTATATGGTGAGGTACCATATGGTGCCCTGGCTGTAACATCTCTGCAAGTATTTTAATTTGGTAAAGGCAAATAAACAATAATTGTTCATGGGGGCTGCAAAAATAGAATGTAATATGATGGAAACACAAAACAGGAATCTGTTTAACAGGATGGTATGCTTGGAAATTCCATCTATCAGAATTATAGAGATGAGTTGTAGATGCCAGCTGATTATCGGAAAGGAAAGGAAAACCTATTGCCGTATGCAGTTAATGCTCTTCATCTTTTACAATTATATTTGGCGTTGTACCTCCCTTGTCCTTCTGTAGTTTAGGGTACAGATATTTTGGGGGTGGGCATAAAATGCACATAGTTGGTATGAGTACCAAGAATTGCATCACAAATGTTGAGTAAGGATAATGTCAACTCTGAAGTTAACCTGGCTGAAGCCATCTTTTGCTACCTCACAGTTACCATGATCCCTGAGAGGGGGAAAGTAGATAGACTGGCTAACAGCCAAAACAGAAAGTTTTCTTGTGGGAACCACAACAGGTGGCAGTTGAAGGAGGAGAGGAGGAACCAAGCTGCCTGCCAGCTACTTTCATTGGATAATGTGATCAGCGACATCTGGGAGGGGGAATATTTGCTCTTTTAATTAGGCGAAAACCTTGGGAACTTTTAGAGTTGGTTTTCACCAGCTGTGCCAGTAAGATGTATCCAATAAACATCTTCTTTGAGGAATCTATCTGCCTCGGAGTTACTTGGAATGCTGACAGATTGTCATGACTCTATGTCTCCTCCATTG